CCCTGGGGGGGACGGGGGGGCGGGGGTGGGGGCGGCCTGGGGGGGGGGGGGGGAGACAGTGGGGGTGGGATGTATCTCTGGAGCTTTGCCATGCCTGGAGGTCTCCAGCACCCCAGCAAGGACCCCCAGCCCCTTTTTCCAGGTGCTGAAGAGCCAAGGGTGGGAGAAGAAGCAGGCAGCGGCCGAGGTGCTCAGGACAAGTCAGATGCATCAGCCCAGTGCCAAGGTGGGCACAGGTCAGGCTGCGGCCCCCCATCCAGGGACAACCCAGGTGCAGGAGAAGCCCTGAATCTTGGCTGCGTCCCCATAACATCTCCTCCTGCTCCCACAGGACTGGGTCTCCACAGGAAATACAGCACTGGGCGAGCAGCCTGGGACCCAAACGCCTCCGACCAGTGCCAGCCTGGAGCCAGCAAGTCAGGAGCGTGGGGACAGGCACACACCCCATGCCTGGGTGGCTGACATGTGGGCACGGAGCGTCACTTTACATGGTGGGAAAAAGCTTCGCTCGGGCTGGAAGAGGCCTCAGTCCTTCATTTAAACTGCTTTCTTCAGCCACAGCATGTCACGATCATTCTCCTTCTCTTTCCCCACCCAGGACTGGGTGTCAGTGAGAGCAGCCGGGAAGGGGAGAACCAAGCCCCGGTGGGCGCAGGGCAGGGTCTGCCGGAGGAGCCCTCACCAAGCGAAGCACCGCAGCCGTGGCCAATGACCAGGGGTGACACAGTGAGTGGGACCCCACTGGGTCCCTGCCTGCTGCTCCTGGGAAGGAGCAGTGCCCAGGGCCCGCAGCCCTCTGCACCAGCAGCACTGGGTCCCCCAGATGCTGTCCAAGCCTGCTCTGCCCTCTGCCAGGCAGGGAGCCGGCGCCAGCCATGCCCATCCCTGGAGGTCCAGTACGCCCTGGCCAAGGCGCAGAGGCAGCGGCTGCGAGCTCAGCACTGCCTGCTCCTCCAGCGAGAGCTTGGGGATGGGGCAGTGCCAGGCCAGGAGGCGAGCAGAGAGGTGGGCACCAGGCTCTCCTTCCCTGGCACTGCTCTCCCACAAGCAGGGTAGCCCCAGGGAGAAAAGACACCCCAGAGCTGCCCTGTCCCCCACAGTGGGATGCAGCTCGCTGGCAAAAGGAGGTGGCCATGCTGGGCCTGAGCCTGGAGGCAGCACGGAGGGAGCGGGAGGCAGCTGAGTGGGACCTGGAGGCCTTGCTGCAGAGCCACCGGCAGGAGCTGCAGGCCTGCAGACAGCACCTGCTGCAGGTTGGCAGGGAGGGCTGGGGACGCACTTTCAGGCTGCCAGGGCTGTGCCAGGTAGCCCCAGGCATCCCTGCAGGTGCTTCAGGACCAGCAGCGCCTGGCAGAGGAGCAGAGGGAAGCCCTGGACCATAGGCACCGGGTGCTGCTGCAGGAGGTGCTCTGGGACGCCGTGGAGCTTGCCGCACACAATCAGCAGTTGCGGGACACCAGATGGCTGGGCTCGGCTGATGCCGCCACACAGACACCCTGAGCCAGCATCCCAGAGTGGTGGGGACAGCTGCCCTGGCAGGCAGGCAGGACAGGGTACCTGCAGACCCCTGCCACCACAACCCCCCCCTCCCTGGAACGAGCCACCAGCCCAGATGTCAGGTGACCGGCCAGCTCCAGCTGCAGCCATTCCACAGGGCAAGGCCTCCTGTCCTGCCTGCTGAGAGCTGCTCCCTGAAGAAACCTGGCCCCAGGGAGGGTGCTTCCTGGCAGAAGCGAGGGAGCGCTTCACCCCTCTGCCCCCAAGGGAAAAACCCTGCTCTGCTGCTGGGCACCTGCCTGCAGGAGTGTAGGCTCAGGCACAGCCCTGCAACAGGAGCAGAGCGGGCACGGTGAGAAGGCTGGTGGCTCCCCAGCTGCTGCCATGTGGAATAAAGTGTTGCCGTTCACCAATGAGTGTTGTCAGGCTCAGACATGCCCCTGGCCCCCAAACCTCTGCCAAGCGCAACAGATGCATTCCTGCAGGGAGGACAGACACACGCATGCTGTTGAACCGCAACTTTAATAATCCCAGCCAGAGCCAGCAGTGACTTCTGCCTGCCAAGAACTCACTAGCTGCAGCATTGGTAGAAATTTGGGTGCAGTCTCCCTTTTGGGGAGCAGGTGAAACAGTTCCCACATCCCCCCATTCCCCATCTGCTCCACACACAGCAGCGACACCATGTCTGAAAAGGGGAAATGGGGCCTAAGGACAGCAGCCCTTCAGCCAGGGGCTGGTGCAAGGGTTGGGCTGGAAAACTGCAGAGGTGGGAGAGATGCCCCCGGACGCAGCATCGGGCTCTCCAGGCAGCAGCACCCAGCCTTGTGCAGATGGCTGCAAGAAACACCATCCACAGGAGTTGAAAGCATGTCAGACCAACGCTGGCCTGGCAGCAATTGTGCAGCAGGGCTGCTTGTGCACAGATGAGCTCACAACACAGTGGAGCTAACCACTGTAGGAGCATTTACAGGCTCTGGTGCAGGGAAGATGGCAGAAGCAGCTTGAGAATATGAGACACCACATAAACAAGGGGGTCAGGACGCACCCTTGAAGCTGGGCACACCTGATCGCACGGGAACCCTGTGGCACAGAGCCCAACTAGGCTGGAGCAGGGCCCAGCTTCCCCTCTGGAAACAGGGACAGGGCACTCTCATTCTCAGCACTCCCCTCCGGGGGCTCCTTGCTAGTTGTGCACGCACCCACCAGTAACAACTCCCTGCAAACACCAGGGCGGGGAGGCCGACAGCCAAAGCACTGCTGTGCTTCTAACACCAGCCCCAGCACAAGCACTAAATACCCCTGAGGAACGACTAAAAGCTGCCCTGGTGCACACAGGGCAGGAAGGCAGCAGCTACGTGACGCCATAGTACAAGTGAACAGCAAGGCCGATGCATGAGACAGCAATGAAGAAGAGCAGGGTGAGCTGCAGATTGAAGAGGGTGATGGACAGGAGGGCGTTGACCAGGATAGAGCAGGAGATCACAAAGAGCCTGGTGATGTTACTGCTGTGCTTCATGACCACGGACATGATCAAACCGTTCAAGGCCTGGCTGACCACAATCACCAGCACCCAGGAAGAAAATCCCTCCAAGAAACTGCCCTCTGCGCTGCTCCAGAAGTAGCCGATCAAGTTGAGCAGGACCCCAAAGAAGTAAAGGAAGAGGTTCTGAAGGCTGAGAGGCAGTGCCTGGGTTTTCAGGATGGCTTCTGTGTAGACAGCAGACAAGCCTGATATCAGGCAGTACACCGAGATCAGCAACAAGCCCACCAGCGTGATGTGCAGCTGCATCTTGGAGGGGCTGCCAGGGTCCTGCAGGCCACCACAGCTGTAGCTCACCCCAGCAGCCACCAGCAGGAGAAGAGCCAGCCATTTGCGCATGCTGAGTCTTTGGCGCAGGAAGAGGCTGTAGAGGAGTGCCGTGGTGACGATCTTTAAGTTACTCAAGACCTGGTAGGTGCTGGGATCCATGAAGAGCTGCATGTGAACCACCAGGTTGTTGTTGGCAGCATACAGCAGGGCAGAGAGGGCGAAGGGGGCAATGTGGCGCCACGACACGGCGACTCCCAGCAGCTCCCGGTCCCAGGTCAGCAGGAACAGGAGGGAGAACACCAGCTTTGTCAGCTCGACAAGAACCACGACAGATGTGGAGCTGAAGGGGATTATCCCGTCCACCTTGCACTGGGTCAGGAGGGGAGCATGAGAGCCGTATATGGCTACAGACAAGACCAGCATCAGTCCCCACAGTCCCCTCCGGAGCACCCAGTTTGCAGAGCCAGCAGCATTACCAAACATTACCATTTTCAGGCGGTAGCCAGCAAGGGCGAGCTGCTATCAGTGCAGAGAGGCCAGACAGACTCGCACCCTAGAACATTCAAGAAGAGACCAAATACCATCAATTTAATGAGCCTGATTAAAACAGGATGTTACCTGCTACATTTCTGATGCAATAGAAGAGAATGGTTTTGTCTTTCACTAAGAAAATAACTACGAGCCTCCCCAGGAAGCCACACAAAGCATGTTCCTAGGGCAAAGCATGTGCTCAGTAGAAGGGCGTACAGGTGGTGAGTGTGATGACATGTCACAGGCAGCTTTTCAATCTGCAGGGGCACAGGGAGAGAGCTGAGGGGGAAAGGCAGCTGGCAAACCATTGGCCACTGGTGCTTCCAAGCTACTGTGGGTTAGTGGAGTGATCACTGCTGCCATGATGCTCCAATAAATACCCCATAACCAGACCCGCTGATGTCTCGCAATGATGTGGTGTAAAGCCCTTTTCCAGTGGAAAAGAATGGTGTATGTGACATGCCTCTGAAAGTCCTAGGAATCTTCTGCACCTGCTAACTAAGGAGCACTGTTCCTACAGTCACTGCTGCGAAAGGGCTCCTCACTAGTCCCGACCTTTTTTCAGTGAACTGAAATAGTCCCGGACTGTCTTCTCAACATTGGGAATGGCGTAGTTCTGAGCAGCGTATATTCCTGTGCAGGTCCCAGCCACGAATCCCAGGACAGCCGAGAAGCGAAGTTTGGCTACAAGATAGCCTGCCAGGAAGCCTTTGAGAAAGGGCGAGGCCAGCAGAGAGCCATCCTGAGGAAAAGAGCAAAGAGTGAGGCGACGGGGCAGGGTGGGCTTGTGCAGGGAATGCAGAGCAGGGACGTGCCCCGGGGATTTTTAAAATTTTTTCTTTTTTTTTTTTACTAAGCCCCCTCAAGACGGGTGACTGGTCCGCCCCGAGACACACGGATCACCACACCGGCGGGGGAAGCGCGTTACCTGCCCCACGCCAGCGTGCACCTCGTCCTCCACCCTGCGCTGCAGGCTCTCCAGCTGGTCCTTCAAGAAGGCGAGGTCCTTCAGCTTGGGCAGAGGGTCCTGGGGGAGACACGAAGGCTGCTGGCCGGCCCCCAGACAGCGCCCAGGGACAGGGAACCAGCCCAGCGCTCCCTCAGCCCCGGGTCGAGTCCGTCCCGCCATGCCCGGCCCGGCCCGGCCCGGCCCGGCCCGCCGCACCGCCCCACTCACCTTATCGTCCGCCATCTTAGCGCAGGCGCTGCCCGCCGCGCAGTCGTCGCCCGCCGCGGATTGGGCCGCGGGGATGCACGTGATCCCTGACGCACCCCGGCCGCCGGCGCGCCCGGCGCCATTTTGAGACGCGGGGGGGGGTGGCTGGGGGGCTGCCGCCATGACGGCGGGGTTGTCGCTTCCCTCCTGAGGTCTGGCCTGGTTCCGGGGGCGGAGGCCGAGGCCGGTACCGAGCTCCGCAGAGTTCAGCGGGAGCTCTGGGGCCGCTCCTGGGAGGGGTAGCTGGGCCTCATGGTCGCCCCCAGCGCGGTGCGGACTCCTCAGAGCGCCTGCTGGGGCCCAGCTGCCTTCCCGGCCTCCGGGGGGGGGGGGCCTGGGCGGCTCTTGCCGGGGCCCCGGGGGGGCGGTGGCTGGTGCTGGGGAAGGAGAGCCACAGAGGAACTGTTTGGCCTGTCTGTGTGGGAGGGAAGGGAAGGGTCTCAGTGGCCCTAGAGTGGGGCTGGGGTCGGGGCAAGCTGCTTGTGCCTGTGGCCCAGCTGTGTCCCGAGTGGGTGGGAGCTGCTGGGGGGGGTTGGGTGTGTGTGTGCGCAAGTGCAATTGCTGTCCTGGGATGGCTGGGGCGTAGGGGCCTTCAGCGCTGGATAGATGCGCATGCCTGTGTCTCTGTTCTCAGAGGTATCTGTTTGTGTGACTGTTACTGTTGCGAAGGTCTGAGGATTGGCCCAGCATCCACCCTGGGCAGCATGGGGCATTCCTTGCCCTGGTCTAGCAAGCTGGTAGAGAGAAGTCCCAGTGGCTTGCCAGGCCTCGGCAGGGCATTCGTCAGAGCTCAGTGTTCGGGAGCCCCCTTGGCTCTGTCCCAGAAGATGCTGCCGTGGTGCTGGGGTTGGCTGCCCCACGTATCGTTGCCCCTCTGCTTTCTCCGCCTGCCCTCTTTCCCCGTGTCCTGATTTCAGCTGGGGTAGAGTTACTTTTCTTTCTAGTAGCTGGTATAGTGTTGTGTTTTGGATTTAGGATGAAAATAATGTTGATAACACTGATGTTTTCAGTTTTTGCTAAGTAGTGTTTGTACGAAGTCAAGGATTTTTCAGCTTCCCATGCCCAGCCAGCAAGAAGGCTGGAGGGGCAGAAGAAGTTGGGAGGGGACACAGCCAGGGCAGCTGACCCAAAGTGGCGAAACGGGTATTCCATACCATGTGACGTCACGCCCAGTATATAAACTGGGGGGAGTTGGCCTGGGAGGGGATCTCTGCTTGGGAACTAACTGGGCAGTGGTCGGCGAGTGGTGAGCAATTGCATTGTGCATCACTTGGTTTGTATATTCCAATCATTTCATTATTGTTATTTTTTTATTATTGTTATTATCATTATTATTTTCTTCCTTTCTGTTCTATTAAACTGTCTTTATCTCAACTCATGAGTTTTACCTTTTTTTTCTCCCCCTGATTCTCCCCTCTCATCCCACTGGGTGGGGGGGGAAGCAAGCAAGTGGCTGCATGGTGCCTAGTTGCTGGCTGGGGTTAAACCATGACACCCCACCCAGGCAAAGCTCTGCCTTGGGGTTCCAGTTACACCCCGGTGGGACAGACACATCCTGACACTGAGTGTGTGTTTGTTTGTATCTGGGGAGGGAGCAGCAGAAGATGAGCAGGATGTCCTGTGCGGGGTGCAGGGAAGAAGTGATGGTGGGATGCTGCTGCCTTAGGTTTCTTGCCGGCTGGTGGAGGACAAGGTGCAGCATGGTGTGGGAGCAGGCTTCCCCTGCCAGTCCCGCAGGGACAGTTTTGGGAAGTGAAGATCACTGCAGGAGCATCATGTCTGCTGCACAGTGACAGAGGGATAGGAGCAGGCTGGGCCCAGCCTTTGGTCACTGCCTTTCATCTTGCTCCCACTGCCTGAACTGAACAGGGAGGTACGTGGGGTCCCTCATGATAGAAACCTCCGTTGTCTTCTGTCCTCGTGCTTCATGCCTCTGAGTGTTGGGCCGTGGCTTTTCGGCGTAGCTCAGAAGTTAGCTGAGGTGACAGCAAGTTGTATGGAGCTGTGGCTGAAGGAATCACTTCTTGGTCTGTTTGCCTTTGCCTGCAGTCTCCCAAAGATGTCGTGACCCGCTTGTGGGCAGGGGCTGCTGTCAGAAGAGGGGATGTGAAGGAAAATGTCAAGGTACGAAATGGAGTGAAGGCAGCTGGGTGAGAGAGAGAAAGTTCAGAGCTGGGGTTTGAAGGAAGCACTGTCAAGGCTGGCAGGGCCCAGCTGTGACCCTGGACTGCCACGACCTTCCCCTCTGCAGCCCCTCGACCCTCAGGGTCTGTTCCCTGGGATGGCTGGGGACCGGTCTGAGGAGATCTCTGCTGGTTTGCCTGCAGCTGTGGCATGGGGGACCATCTGGCACCTCTGTGCAGATGCGTGCCCTGAGGATGGTGGTATCTTGCTGTGCTGGTGAGCAGAGGGCCCCACACCTTGGCTGATGTGGTCCTGCACAGCAGTGACATGGGGCTTGGGCTGTCCTTCATAGCAGTGAGGATATTTTCCAAATGGATGAGTGTTTCTCCCTTGCCACCCTAAGAGGGAGGAGATGTTCCCTTGTGACTTGGGCTGCACCTGGCCAGTATGTGTTGCCTGTTGCAGGGTACCGTGCCTTCAGGCCCACATGGGCCAGCTCTTGTGTCCCTAAAGGCCCTGCTGTGTAAGTCTGTGGGAATGGATGCTGTGGGTGTGGACGGAGAAATAGGTGCCACAGAGGAAAAGTGCATGCTGAGAGGCAGTCTGTGAAAGTCCCCCAGGAACTGGGGAGTGGCTGGGGGTTGGCAGTGGTTTTGAATCCATGGGAGCTGGTGAGCATAGGACACCATGAGGCTTCTGGCACGGGTGAGCATCAGCTGGGGGTTTTGTAACTCGGGCTGGGTACGTTGCACACAGCAGGATTTTATACAAGCATCTAATAAGAGAAGAGCCCCTGAGGGATGTTGTGAGCACCTTCCTGGTGGGCTCTGGTGTGTCAGTGCAACACTCCACTCCGGGGAGCAGCTGGGGTTGGCCTCCAGGTGCTGCTGCCTGAGTGGGCGTGAGTGACCCTGTGAGTCAGTGACTGTACTGTGGGACTCGTTATCTGTGGTTGGTACCAGCTTGAGTCTGTTAATAGCAAATGCTTAGCAGTCTTCTAATGGATCTTCTTAAAGGTCTTCTAGTAAATACCAACTCTGACTTGATCCCTTCTCAGGTAAAAGGGAATTTACACTGCATGAGCACCCCTCCATGTCCCCCTCAGAGGGGGAGCGCTAGAAAGCTGCAGAGCTGGGGGCCCCTCTCCATCTGTGTATGCCATGGTGCCTCCAGGCACTCCAGGCCAGCAGAGAAAAGCCCAGGGCCACCAAAGGCAACCCCCCAAATGTAGCCAACAGTTGTCAATGTGTGTGCAATCCTTGTACCGCCAGAGCAGGTCAGGGGGGTGTTCACCCCACAGGGCTGGCCAGGATGAGTGTGCTGTCCCCTCAGACTGCGCAGGAGACAGGGCAGCCCTCGGCTAAGGGTGTGCTGTCCCTGGTGCATGGAGGGGAGCTGAGCCCTGGGGATCACTATCTGCAATGTGTTTATTAGTGAAAAGCTGTGTGTGAGGGTGAACGTGTGCTAGTGCAGCTCCAGCCTAGAGTGATGTAGAGCACAGAAAAGTAGAAAGCAGCTTGCAGTGCAGGGACTGAGAGCAGCCCTGAGGAGAAGGACTTGGGGGTGTTGGTTGATGTTGGGTGTTGGTGGCTCAACATGACCCACCAATGTGTGTTTGCAGCTCAGAAAGCCAACCGTATCCTGGGCTGCATCAAAAGAAGCGTGGCCAGCAGGGTGAGGGAGGTGATTCTTCCCCTCTACTCCGCTCTGGTGAGACCTCACCTGCAGTACTGTGTTCAGCTCTGGGGCCCCCAACATAAGAAGGACATGGACTTGTTGGAGCGAGTCCAGAGGAGAGACACAGAGATGATCAGAGGGCTGGAGCACCTCTCCTGTGAACACAAGCTGAGAGAGTTCGGGTTGTTCAGCCTGGAGAAGAGAAGGCTCCGGGGAGACCTTAATAGCAGCCTTCAGTACCTAAAGGGCGCCTACAGGAAAGATGGAGGGAGACTTTTTACAAGGGCATGTAGTGACAGGACAAGGGGTAATGGCTTTAAACTGAAGGAGGGCAGATTTAGATTAGATGCAAGGAAGAAGTTCTTTACTGTGAGGGTGGTGAGGCACTGGAACAGGTTGCCCAGAGAGACTGCGGATGCCCCATCCCTGGCAGTGTTCAAGGCCAGGTTGGATGGGGCTTTGAGCAACCTGGTCTGGTGGAAAGTGTCCCTGCCTATGGCAGGGGGGGTGGAACTAGATGATCATTTCATTAAGGTCCCTTCCAACCCAAACCATTCCATGACTCTATGATCCATACCAAAATATTAAGGGCTTGAGTCTGTGTCTTATTCCATCTCTGCTCCTGCTCTCGTGGCAAGCCCTCGCCTGGCAGACAGCTGCACTGGAGGCTCCAGTGACTGGTCCTGTGGCTGGTATCAGGCACAAGTGGCAGGACATGTTTGGTCCCAAGTGTGGTGCCTCATCCTGTGGCTCAAGATCCCTCCCACTCTCACCCTGGCCCTAGGCCATAGTACCAAGACAGCCTTCCTTTTCCCAATAGGAGGGGTGGAGAGAATCCTGCTGCTGATTTCAGGGCAAAGATAACGGTCTCTGGCCTCAGGAGGCTGTGTCCAGCCCAGGAGCAGTACCAAATGCAGGAAAAAGAGACAAAACGTGTCCCAACCTAATTAACCCCTCTTCCTCTCCCTTTCATGAGCAGGATGTGTTTGTGCAGACAATACTGTGGGCTCTTTCCTCAGTGGTCAAAGCAGCTCAGATGTCAGTGCTGTTTTGCTGGGGATAAGACAGCGACTCAGGGCATCCTCTCTGCATCGATGTCTGCCATGGTTAGCCAGGTCACTCCTGCCCTCAACAGCTACGTGCCATACTGGCCAGGTCTGGGGGGATGTGCAGCTATGATGGGAGCAGCAGCCTGGCTGTGCTGGCTGGCTCCTGCTCTTACTGCAGACCCCAGCACCAGAGGCCAGAACAAAATTGATAAGGAAGGAACAAAAATGACTCCCTAAAACTAACACCTTGAAGTTACTATCTAAAGGCTAGAGCTGGCAGTTCTCTTTCCTAGTAAGAGTCTTGGCTTAGTAAACAGCTGCCACAAAAAAGGACCCTGTTTGGGTCCTCTGAGCCACTTGTGACCCCAGATTGGCATCCAGAAATAACCCTTCTTCCCTACTTGGGGCTTTAAGTTATTTTTCCACTTCTTTGTCTGTTCAGCTTTCTGTGAGACCTAAGCACTGCGCAGTCACGCTGGGGACCATACTCTAACTCATCCGTTGACGATGCCAGCAAAACGTGAACTGCTGCACTTTCAGCTTGGGAAACAGGCACTACAGAACTACGAGCAAGACTGAGGAATCGTAAGAAATGCACGTTTCAGATGCTTGGCTAACAAATTAATTAAAAATTGGTATGTTGGGTTTTATGTATATGTCACCCCCATGGATGCTACACTGGGATTTAAGGGCTCAAAGATTTAAAAGTGTGAATTTTCAGGCAGAGCTGTGCACTAAAGCAGGTAGCATGCAAGAGTATCGAGACAGCTCTGTGAAGGCTTCTGGACTCTCGGGCTTCTGGCTCTCAAATTGAATTTGTACACATTTCCCATATATATTACACTGCTCCCACTGAGTCACTGGAAAGAGGAAATGAAAGGGAATGTGGAGTCAGTAGCAGGTGCAGAGGCAGTTAATTAATAGCCAGTTTAAGTCCAACAGATGTAAGAGTCCAACCATCGCTGACAGCCGAAGCGCTGAGCTGCTGTTTTCCTTGCTTTGCAGGATGCCAAACTTTAACCACAGACAGGCACGAACTTAGTGAACCTGGCATTTTCCTCAGCCACTTCAAACAAGCCCACTTTTCAAGTAGGATTTTTACTACATGAAAGGTTAAAAAAAAAAAATCAGCGTGATTGCAAAGGCCTTTGTGCTCCAAGGAGCACAACCACAAAACTTGGAAAATGCAACTTAGTGCAGGCTGACTGAAAATTTGGATATTGCTGAAAAGCAACACTTGAGGGCAGCATAGCACTATTGAACAGTCATTGCCGCTCACCTCCTGTAGCTGTTTCCTCGTGAAAGGTGTACCCATCGCCAACCTCAGCAGAAGACAACGTTCACATTTTTCTCCATCGAAGCACACAACCCTCCCTGGCTGGCATGCACACGTATTTGCCAATAACTTGTTTTATTTCAGCCTCCTGAAGTGACCACCGCTGCACAAGCTGGTCGTAAAGCATCATCACGCACAAAGTACTCTTTGTGCATGATGACCTGCACAGTTATCAGCCAAACTGACCTGCTCTTCAGTCATTACATGGATATAAGATTTAAGGATACAAATAAAAGTAGGTCCTGATGAATCTTTTTAGCTATTGTCAAGCTTCAGAAAGTTACTTTTGGCTGCTTCTCCCCTCCTGCCCCAGATACAGAAGCATCCTGCATTTGCAAGGCTCCATAATTTGACCTTTTCAAACAATCAAATCAAAACAGTGCTCAAAGGCTTCACAGCCCAAGTGTCAGAATGGGCTTGCAGCTCTCAGGGGTGGGAGCACAAACACAGCTGAGAATGCTTCCTGCCTCTCAGCACCAGAGATGGCCTTACAGTGAGTCAGGTTTGGGGGTCTTCTACATCTGTTTTGTTTATGCCAGCATTTATATTCAAGCCACTGCATAAAATTTTTAAAGCATCAAAATTTGCTCTGGCTCTTCTATTAGAAGGAAATGTTACAGCCAAGGTGTATGCTTGGCATAAGACTTCAAGACACAACAGACAGTAGTTACCAGGAATGTAATAAAAAATGAGAAATCTCAACTTATTTTTCACGATCCGGTTGTTAACCACCAACTTTATAAGAATACTGTCTTTATCAGCCTTTGCAGAGACAAGGTCCCATAAGCACAGCCAGCAAGACAGAGAAAAGCAGCATCTGGATCAGCTGCTCAGATTCACAAATAAGTAAGTGAGAGTATAGACAAGAGCAAGGACCGCCGCATCTTTTCTCTTTCTTCTTCTTTTAAGCCACATGTCTTTCCTTAAGCTGCTGATAAAGATACACGAGTACATAAGCATTTTGTACAGCACTGGATCAACTCTGGTTCCCACCACAAACTGAATGAATTTAAATGACTCAGTAAGTTCTTCTGCTTTTGAGCAAAGCAGTGATTTAAGCACAGTCTTGGGGCCAGAGAAACTGTGCAAATGCTTAAATCTGGAGACAAAAATGGTCATTTCCCTGTGGCAAGTAGCAATGCACCCCCAAAATCTTTAAGTGATGCTGGATGCCAAGGAATTGATATCTAGGCATGTTTGAGAGGACTTAAAGTCAGTGCTGAAGCCAGCCAAGAAGAGTCACCAGATTGAAGGAACCAGTTTGCAATAAGGGCCACATTTTGTTGATGAGCAACACAAGGCATCTTTTTACAGTTTTCTTGCTGTTCAGCGCTGGAGCAGAAGCAACCCAAATGCATCTGAGGTGCCAACATCCATCGCAAACCAGCAAGAAAATGGACGAGATTTCCCAGAAGAGCTGGATGATATTTCTTGCTCCCAAACCATTTTGTCTCTCACAGAGAGCATCCCAGAGCAGGGGGGCCATAGGTGCACAGCCGACTGGATGCGGTCACTCCCGTGGCCACGTGTGACACCGCTCTGATACTACTTCCCATGAGCATCTGCCACACGAGCAACAGTTTCTTCCTCTCTGTGTGGGTCCTGCATAGTGTAGGCTGAACTGCAGTTCTGCACCACCTCCTCTTTGAGGGGATTAGCGAAAGGAGGCAGACATCTCCAGTTTATTGGTGTGTTCATGACATTGAAAGTGGAAACTGGACAGTTAAAACAAGCAGGTAACTGCAATAAAGATGACAGTTCACCATCTTTTATATGAGTCAGAGCCCAGGTGAGTGGCCAGGTTTGCTGAAGTCAAACAGCAATGACAGATCGATGCCACTTCCCAGAGATCAGTGGCTCACAATGGTGGCAGGGAACCCTGCACTCCCGCACCAAGCAAACATTTGCCAACAGAGGAATGAGACCATTCCTGATTCTCCAAAGCAGCAGAGAAAAAACAGGAGGGATATTTCTCTGCTGATGTTCCAGCACTTTTTTGTACAGGAAGTGGGATGGCATGGGGCATCTTTTAATTGCCAATAGTTGTTCTTGAAATTATTTAGCACTGAGCTGAATGATGGTGCCTGCTACCACTGTCATTTACGGGGTCAGGCTCTCAGTAGTCATGCAGACACTGACCTCTCAACCCCAAAACCCAGCAGTAAAACAGGAGAGGAGCTCTCCTTCCTAGCCCTAAACCCAGAGTCACAGAGATGCCAGCATCAGCTGGGAGTTATGTGCAAAAGAGGTAAGAGCTAAAAAAAAAAAAACCAACCCCAAAGGACACCTGGGAAAGGCAACTCCTTAGAGGTGCTGCCCTGCTTTTGGCAGACTGCAGCCTCCTGGGCAATGTATTCACCCTCCCAAAGGATGCTCGTGTGCCCGACACCAGGCTGGTGATGAATGCTCAGCGCTCCTGCTGACTTCTTCCATCCACCATGGCCATGTGGGATGGAAATGGCTCCTGGGCCAAATCCATTTCTCATCCTAATCCTAATGAGGACAAGGCAGCTTTCAGCTCCATCCCCTTAAAGAAGGGGATATTTAAAGAAATATTGGTCCATGTAGCTGGCATTAGCCTGAAAATTCCTGGGACTTCCAGTACAGTGATATTTAATACACACATCCCTCCAGAGATCTTTTAGGCAGTAAGGGGAATGCAACCTCCATAAAAAGAATTCCTAACTTTTGCCCAAACCAAAAGGCAAGAATTCAAGAGCACTCTTTCTCTATCCTCCCCATCTGTCTGACCCAGACAATTGCTGTATTTGTGTAAATGGCAGATCAGACTGCACTGATGTCTTTTCATTTGAGGTAAAGGAGAAGACGTACAAGGGCAGGAGTAAAGATGCTCTTGTAATAGGCACATGCATCTCCTGCAGAAAAACTGATGATCATTTTTTCTAAGTTCATGGTAAAAGCCTGAGCACCTGTTCTGCAATGGGTCTTTGAGAAAACTCACATATCAGCCACCCTGAGATTTAAAACAAGAAGACTCTTTGCTGTATGGAGCAGAATGGATAGATCTCTACAGGCAGTTAATAGTGATTTCTGGTAACCCACAAAGAGAAAAAACCAAGGTGTGCCTCAGAAAGGACTGCTGACCTGGCTAGCTCTGTGGTTGCAAATGAACAGGAGCTGGGCTTATTTACATCCAAATGGCACTAAGAAAACCTGATAGGAAAACAGCTAAGACGTGAGAAGCCTTGTCCTTGCTGCATCCAAGCTCAGCCCTGGCCCAACCCCTGGCTGGGGGGAAGGTGCAGCTTTGCTCTGCCTGGCTCTGTGCCTTGATCCCCCAGACCTGACTGTGAACCTGCCTCCCTGCTTGGCCTAGGACCTGCCTTGTTATTACTGGATGGTGGTAGACCTTGGACCTGCTCAGCTCACTTTGCTGAGGTATGGTGGCATTGCTGCTCCCTATGGCTCAGGTATGGGTCTTCTCCTTCTCCCTAACACCTCTTCATCCTGAGGGCAGAGAAAAGCTTCTTAGGCTCTGGAGCAGTCTGGGTGTTGGGGAAAAATGTTTGGCAAGAGCACCCTGCTGCTGATGGGACTGATGGCTGTGACTGGCTTAGTCTTTAGCTCTTTGATGCCTGGATGCCTGGGACCCAGCAATCCCACTGCAGAGCTGGCTGTAAAGCTCAGCTCCTCATCCCATACATCCTCCCCGAGTGGAGAAGCAGTGGGAAGAGAAAAAGGCAGGGCAAGAGCAGTGCCAGCCACCTCTCATTGCTGCACTGAGCCCATCCACGAAGTCACACCTGTGGCTCTGTGCTTGCCCCGGTGATGAGCTATAGTTGGGGCTCATAGCCCTGTGTCAGGCACCTCTCCAAGATGGTTAGGCTTGGGGCCATGCTCCTGTCCCCCACAGCTTGTGCTTGGGGGGCTCAGGTTGAAGATGCCCCCTAAACCTTCTCATCACCCCTCATGGCCCTGGCAGTCCCTGCAGATTGGGCTCCAGACGGGGGTAGTGCCTGTGCCCCTCGCACACCTCTGTCTCCTGCTGGCAGCCATGGCACTGGAGCATGGGGCATTGCTGAAGCAAGGCTGTGCCCAAGCGCTCTGTGATGACCAGGGACATCCAGGGCTTTTGCTCCCCTCATGGCGGTGTGCACAGTGGCGATGAGGGCATGGGGCTGGGGGGGCTGGGATGACACTGCCGTGCTGGTGCATGCCAGCAGTGGGCCAGGCTGCGTCTGTGCTGCTGACACCCTGCAGCACCTTCAACCACCCCAGCAACTGGCGAGTCCTGAGTCAGGTCTGATGTGGAACGCTGCAATTAGCACAAAAACTGAGCTGATTTGTGCTGTTAGGGAGCTCAAGGGGAAACTGGTTATCCTGTTTGCCAGCTTGGGCAGCAAGCTTCCACTTCTGAGGTTTGATTTTCCTGCCTCTGATTCAGCTCTGCCTGCAATTCACTCTGTTAGCAAAGGCTTTCACCTTGCCGTTTGCTTGGCTCTGGCTTTGCCCTTGAGCAGTGGCAGGAGCTGAGCCTTTGGCTGGCAGCATGGTTTCTGCTGGAACAAGGTTGTACTGTCAGGTTTCTTCTGGGCTTGTACCTGTCTTTCTACCTGTCCCCTGCTAATATGGGCTGAGCTTATCAGCCATCTCAGCCCAACCTGACTGAAGACGGTGATGGGCAAGATAAGAAGCACCCATATGGGAAGGGAGCAGGGCATCAGGAAGGAGATGGTGTTTGTGCTCCACGAGGATCCCCAATGGGTTTGAAGGCACAAATCCTCGGGGACTGCAGTGGTGCTGGCTTTGCTGCTCACGCAGCTGCTCCTGGCCGTTCCCGTGTTGCTGAGCTCAGCCCTGATGCCATGCATTTACCTTGAATCTCAGCAAGTGCCCACAGCATTTGCTCTGTGCCCTTGGGAACGCTGCTTCAAAACAGGAGGTGGGTGATCAGGACCCACGTCCACCCGCCCACGCCCCAGGGCCAGACCCCTCTGGCGCAGCACCCTGCTCCCTGCAGCCGGGGGTATCCGCTTCCTACCACAACCAGGAGGTCCCTCACCTGCAGCGGCGCAGCTCTCCCCTCTCCCTCTTGGGCCAGTGCAGCACCAGGCACTTGGCACGTCCTGGAGGCCTTGGCAAAGATCTCCGACACCTCTCTAAACCAGCAGGCTGAAAGGAGACGGCTCTTTGCAGCGGCCTTTGCTGTCACGAACCCTCCCTTAACAGCCCCGTTATCTGTCTTTTTTGTCTTTTGCACAGATGTAGTACCCAGAGATTAGGCTGCAGATTAAGGTTTTACTGAATCCTGAAATGGGTTCCAATTTCCAGTCCCAGCGGGACCAATGTGCAGCCAAATCTCCTCTGAAAGCTTGCTGGGCTGGAGCTGGGGAGAGGCATCTCCCACCATGCTGTCCCATATGCATGAGAGATGGAGCCCTGATATTCACCTGGGGTGCTTTGCTGAGAGGCAGCTGCCAGGTAGGAGCAGTTTTATCCTGGGAAGGAAAGCTTGGGAGAGATGGAAGGAATTGGAGCTGTTTCAGGAGTGGCTTTGGATGAGAGAGCAATAAGCTGTAGCTGATCCCTCTTTACTCGGGGTCACACTGGGGGCAGAAGGTCTCCGCACAGAGCACACTTCCAGGCCAGGAGAGTGGTACCAGCTTGTGAGGCCCAGCAAATGCTGTCCTACAGGGCTCACAGGGCTTGCAGGCATCCCTGGAGACTTGCCACATTGGCACTGTGTGACGGGAAGGATGTCCAGGTGCTCGCTGGCCCTGGGCTGCCTATTGCCCAGGAGCCTGAGCAGGTCCTAGGGGCCTTTTGAATCCCAGAGGCTTCAAAAGGTGGTTAAGGAGCTGGGTTACAGGCTCTTTGTGCCTTGGTGTGCCAGCTGGGCTTAGCAGCACTGCCAGGTCTCCTCGGGCGACTGCGAAGCACTTGGCTCCGCCGGCTTCATGTGCCTGAGCCGCTGGTGGCTCATGCTGGCTGACGGCAGGGTGAGGGTTTTCCAGGCTGCCTTCTTCCCGAGAGAAATTGCAGTCATCCAACCTTTCATCCAAGTGTTCAAAAGAGTACACCCAGGTTTTTCTCCTTCCACTCAGAGGGGAATACTGGGTTGTGTGGCTACACTTCTGAGACGAGCCCAGTGAGCTCTCTGTGGAGCAGACAAGGCTGAAGCAGCACTGTCGTGTTGGAGCCCTTTGAGCTGCCCTTGGAGGCAGCGCAGGCAGGCTGCTCTTAAACCAGGCTCTTGGCAGCATCTGCTGCTGTGCCATGTTGCCCGCTGGAGCTGCCTTCTCGCCTGCTGGGACCCGCCCCCCGCCCCGCGCACAGCCCCCCATCAGCACCAAAGCTGTTCTACCAGGTACGTGAAGAAGTGGTGAAATAAATGTCCAGCTGTTTAGTTTGTCTCAGGATTGCTCCCCAGGACCTCTGCCTCCCAGCCTGCACGTCTGCCTGGAGCACCCGTCTTCCTGCTGAAGGGTGAAGCATTGGCCCGTGGCTTTTCCCAGCTCAAGGAGGTGCAAGTTGTCCAAGCATGACGATTCCCTTCGGAGCCATGGGCAGAGGAAAGTGCATCCAGCATCTTTGGGATAGGAGCTGCAAGCACAGGTAGGTATCAAGGTAAAAGGACATGGGCAGCCAAGGGCAGGAGTGGGGCTGTGGGCTCAGCCGCAGCCTGTGCCCACCCATCCCTTTCCATCAGCGTCTCTCCATCCCAGCTGAGCCTGCTCAGCCACAAACACTTTCACCTTGGCCTGGGAGTGACAAAGAAACCCAGGTGCCCTGCTGTGATCCTGGTAGCCGCGGTTGCGTCTGTCGTCTTGGCTGGTTTTGTTATCCTTGCAGTGCATCATGGCCCTTGCACAGGCTGCGCACACTCAGACTGGTGGAAGCTGGGCTATCAGAAGGAGCAGCTTGCTGGGTGCTGCTGGCAGGAGCCATGCGGCAAGGACATGGCGAGGCTGGGCAGCCACGGCTCCAGTAAGGAGCCTGAGCCTCCTGTTAGGGAGATCACATACGTGGCACCAGACAGACCACTGGCCAACAGGTCCAGTCAGGACTTGAGGGACCTTAACCATATTGGAAAAGTAGTGGCAGGAAAGCAGACTTAGCTGGAGCCTCACCAGTATCCACAAGGAGAGGTAGTAGCATCTCCTAGGGTGCTTTTGTGTGTCTGGCTCCAGGCAAAGCCACCCAGGAAGCTATGAGTGGAGCCAGGAGGGAGCCAGGCACAGCACTCTTGTCGCCATCCTCAGCCATGCAGCCAGGTCATCTCCTGTGGGCCCTTGGACTATGCATTCCCCTCAGAGTCTCCATGGCTGGTCCAGAGGATGGTCACAGCTGTTTCTAGGCCCTGGTGCTGGAAGTTCAGGCTGAGGGCAAGCACCTAGGACCTCTCAAGGGACCTCATTTTTTTGCCAAAGTCCTGGGAGTTGGGAGGGACCAAAGGGTAGGTATGCTGCAACATCAGAGGGTAACAAGGCAACTGAGCTGCTGCCTGTCCCCCCTTCCCTCCCAGGGGCAGAACTGGCTGGCTAGATCCTCCTTCAGCTCTTGGAAAAAGGGGAAACTGAGGCATGGAGCAGTGGGTGCACAGCTCTGGCCCCTGCTCTGTGGCTTTGCCAAGCTGCACCATGGCAAAGCTCTGCCACGGTCTCTGGCAACCTGGCAAGCAACAAGCCCCAGGGCCACCATCCTGCCCCACGGCACACAGCTCTGGCCACACTGCGTTACTCGTGCTTGGTTGCCTGAGGGACTGGCTGGCTCACCTGCCCCATGGCCAGCCCAGGTCATGCGGGGCACCTTTGGGATTTTGCTGTCTTGGCTGGGAAGGCTCCTGGCAGCAGCCCACCACAGGGACTGTATTTCTCAGCTGCTTCCTTGGCGCTGGCAGTCCCTTGGGAGCTCCGTCCCCTTGCAAGCTGAGTCTCTTCAGCAAGTGTGGCCTTAAGCAGGTGTGCAGGCATTGGGGCTGGCCTGGGAACAGCCCCTTTTACAGCCTAGGCATCTCCAGGCAGACCCTGGAGGAGCATGTAGATGGGTAGAGCTGAGAAATCATCTGTCTCAGAGCCACACTGAGCAGACCCGCTGCACGTCCTCTGCCCTGCTTCTACCTGACCACATGGGGCCCAAGTAGGCAGGGAGGGCCCAGCTTGCTGGGCTTGTTGGGGGTACCTCACCCCCAGACACAGAGGGCTGGGCAGCCCAACATGTGATGTCTTGCACCAAAAACCCCATGCAAGTTGTCCCAGGACTGCGTCCTACCCCTTTCCCAGAGCTCCAGGGCATCTGGTGTGTCCTTTGGGGCTGGAGAAACACTTCTGCAGAGTACTTGGGAGGAATGTGGGCGTGAAGGGCATCAGCAGGCACCACAGATGGCTCTCAGCACAAAATTACCGGATGGAGCAAAAGCAGGGAGGTTTCTTGCACTGTGGGACCACTGAATGTCGGAGTTCCCCAGGCTCGAACTCCTCTTCTTCCACTCCACCTCCCAAATGGGTAGAAAGCAAGGCTGTTCGTGTGTGACTGCACAGTGGGTGCGTCAGGCTGGAGGGTACCCTGGATGTCCTGCACATACTCCTTGTG